TGTATATTAAATGATATCCGTAATTATATCCACTCACTTAAAATACAACAAAGTTGCATGAAATATGAAGAAGGAGAATGTATTCTTCTGTTAAAATATACTCTCATTCTTCTAGAATAAACTCTCATTCTACTAGAATGCACTCTCGTTTTCCATGTTCTAAGGAACTTTGTTGTATTTTGAATGAGTGGGTCATGAAACAAAATACGAACCCATACATGAAAAACAAGCTGCGAATTCATTCTGAAAGAATATCATTGCTGATATTAATGACGAATTTACTAGTTTTCAAATAAAAGGAAATATAATTGGATACCATTTAATATACATATAATAATGTAATCATTTAATATCTATCTTCATTTAATTAAATAATAATTTAATTTTTACTAAATTTTTTATTGGTGCATTCTATCACATAATAGATGTGAGAAACATTTGAACCTAGCTCCCTCCCTCTCTCTCTCTCTATATATATATATATATATATATATATATATATATATATATATATATATATATATATACGTGAATCACATGTAATTCATATTTGATTCACTTGTAGTTTACATGCGAATTACATGTAAATCACATGTAATTCATATGTGATTCACTTGTGATTTATATGTGATTTACATGTGAATCACATGTAATTCATATGTGAATCTGTTGTGATTTACTTGCGAATTACATGCGATTCATATGTAACTTATATGTGATTCACTTGTGATTTACATGTGAATCACATGTAATTCATATGTGAATCACTTGTGATTTACTTGTGAATTACATGTGATTCATATGTAAATTACATATGAATCACATGTAACTCATATGTGATTCACTTGTGATTTACATGTGAATTACATGTGATTCACATGTGAATCATATGTAATTCATATGTGAATCACTTGTGATTTACTTGTGAATTACATGTTAAATAAATATGTAAATTACATATGAATCACATGTAACTCATATGTTGTTCACTTGTGAGTTACATGTGATTATATGTGAATCACTTGTAATTCATATGTGAATCACTTGTGATTTACTTGTGAATTACATGTGATTCGTATGTAACCCATATGTGATTCACTTGTGATTTACATGTGAATAAATGTGATTTACATGTGAATCCCATGTAATTCATATGTGAATCACTTGTGAATTACATGTGATTCATATCTAAATTACATATGAATCACATGTAAGTCATATGTGATTCAGTTGTGATTTACATGTGAATTACATGTGATTTACATGTGAATCGCATGTAATTCATATGTGAATCACTTGTGAATTTTGCCATATTATGTGAACTTTCTCCAGTATAAAAGCTACCCGATCAATACTAAATTTTGCAGATTCACATTGTTTTGGTTCATGTGTATTTTGAAATCCATCAGCCCTATAAATCGCCTGAAAAAAAAAACAAAAACAAAATTTATTATTTAAGAGAAAAAAAAACTAAAATGTGAATTTGAATTTTGAAAGATAAAAATAAATTTACCTCCATTAAATTATGTTTAACAAGCTGTATCTGTATTTGTAATATCTCTTCTGCCATAGTCTCTTATCTTACACCCAAATCACTAAACACAGCTCTTTTCATGGAAGTTGGGAAATCTAACTTACACTGAAATAAGAAAATGGAAATATACGTAAATTATGAAAAATAGGCATATAGTTAAGAGTTTGTTTGGTATGATGGAATGGAATCAGAGAGAAATGGAATGAAACAAGGGAATTGAATGGATCATTACATTTCATTAACATGTTTGGTTGGGTTGAAAGAATGGAAAAATCCATTCAGACATATTTATTATGTAAAATTACAAAACTAAATGATATTAAGTTGATAGATGAATAAAACATAATATAAATATATAATTATATAAAGCTACGATGAAATTAAAATGAAATTATATATCCCATGAATATGAAATACTAAGCAATCTCAATCAAAGTATTTTCAAATTCAATCAGGAGGAATATGAAATCTCATAAAATAACTGTAGTTTTGGTTATGAATATAAAATCTTAAAAGTGTATCACTTTCTGATGAATAAATCTCAAATTCGAATTTCAAAAATGAATTTTAACAAACTGCTTTTAATATGGAGGCTTTATTCTAAATTACTATGTTCATGTAAATCATTAAACTCAAAAAGCAAGATCGTAATTTTAAAAAAAGTGAATTGTGTCAACCTAAAACGATTATGCGACCACACCATTGTCAGTAAGTTAAACTGTGAATCGTGAAGGTCAGTAAGTGTATATGTGCAGCAAAAAGAAAAAAGTGATTAAATAATAATTCTATAAAACGCTTAGCGACGAAACTAGAAAGATAAATTTAAATTACTCAAGAACACATACAACAATAATATGTGAAGTAAATCCAGACAAAAATAAACAAAAATTACATTAATCTTACCGTAGCAGTTGACACGGATTGATGGATGAAGGTGAAACCGAATAGAGAGACGATCCTAAGATTTCAGTTACATAATGGCGATGCTAGGTTGAATTGATTCCAGATTTATGAAATCTGATCTTGGGAAAAATTGACGAATCTCCAACGACGTCAATATCATATACACAATGGCTTAATAATCGACAATGGTGGAGGAAGCCATGGATTCAGAGGTCGACTCATTGTTTCCATACGATGATGCTTGATTTTGGGGAAACCAGCGACGGTGTTGAATTTTGGCGAACAATATTCGACTGGAAGAGAGATAGTCCATTATTGATTAATCGTACCTTCTTCACGTTGATGATTCGCTTCAATGAAGCCTAGATCGTTCGAAGATTAGGAAGCATGGTGGATCGTCAGAGACGGGATGAGAGAGAGAGAGAGAGAGAGAGAGGATTTTGTTTCACCTGAACGACATATTGAATTTGATTTAGGGTTATAAATTATGTTATCCCGAAATGCCCATGGTTCATTTTATTTTGATACACCCGTGTCATCTTTTTTCTAAGTATTTACAAAATTGCCATAAATCATCTTGACCTTTTATTATTTTGATCTAATGGCTCGTATTTGGTTCTCGGGTTCTCGGGAAACTATGAGTTCTCAAATGATCATTCCTCTCTCTCTCTCTCTCTCTTTATATATATATATATATATATATATATATATATATATATATATATATATATATATATATATATATATATATATATATATATGTGTGTGTGTGTGTGTGTGTGTTTGTGTGTTTAGATAGTTATGGGCTTGACGTATATGCCCTATAATGTTTTTAGGGTTTACCCATTTAGCCACTTAATTTATTTTGTGGTTTAATAAGGGAACAAAGTATCTGTTACCTATCAATATAACCCCTTTCACCTATTGTAGCCGATATACGTTGCCACATAAACCTAACCTAACACGTAAGCGATGGCATGGCAAGAATTTAAAGTGTCGAACTACCGCAACGACGTCGTATTGAAGGCGAATCGTAAGGAGCAAGGATCGAATGTTCAAGCGCCTCCATATAAAATCAAGACTTCCTTGACCTAAAATGGCACATCTGCAAACTTCATTACCCCAATCTGGTCTCTAAGTTTACTCCAAAATGCCTTCGATCGCACATGCAGAACACAACTAGTCTCCAAACTACCGCTGTCACATGGATGAGAATCATTCGAATGGTGTAACCAGCGAAGACATGGCCATCAATCTACTGCAAACCCAGCTGGAACTGTCTCTTATACGGGAGGACTTCCAAGACCAGTTGCGTGAGCTCCGTCAGGCAGTTAATCGAGACTTGTATGCCATGAACCGTGAGGTCGATGACGTTCGCGCTGGTCAGTTGGATATCTCAAATATCGTTGCTGATCTTAAAAATCATTTCGTTTCTCTGCAAGGAGAATATGTGAAGATGGTCTTCCAGCACAACAAACGTAAGAAGTTGAAGTATTGTATTGGGATTGTTGGTATTGTTACTGTCTCTGTGGTGACGTATATGTTCTTTAACTAAAAAAAGTTATGTAGGTTGAAGCATTTCAGTCCTGGGTTTGTGTTTTGGTGTGTTATTTATGTTGTTTAGTGTGTTGCTGGTATTAGTTTGTGATGTTGGTGTGTAGATTTGGTGGTGGTGTTGTCTGTGCTGCTGATGGTCATCGTTTTTTGATGAAGTTTTTTGTCAATGATCTGTAATAGGTTATTCAATAGCAGAAAGTAATGTAAACAAACCCATGACTGAAATGTGTGTTGATATGTTATTATTAAAAAATTTTGTCATACACCTATATCTGTATGTGTGCGTGAAAGAAAGAAACATTTGGGGATTATATATGTTTCAAGAACTTGTTCCCAAGCCAATCATGTGGATGTCCATCGACTGGGACGAGACCACAAGCCAAAGCAAAATGAATATACCTTTTTAATGCACATAGACAGGGACCACAAATGGTGCAGTTTGGGAAAAGGGACAAAACTAAACAATATCTTTGCACACGATGCATTGTGTCTGCTTGTCTGCAAACCTTTTTTGGAAAAAAAATATAGGGAAGTTTTCTAAAGATGGACTTTTTTCATGTTGAATGGATTAAGTCACAAGTACCCTGTTTTTGACAATGACTTAATTACCCCCACACCCAAAATGGTCAATTTACAATGACTTAATTACCCCCACATCCAAAATGGTCAATTTACAATGACTTAATTACCCCCACATCCAAAATGGTTAATTTACAATGACGTAATTACCCCCACACCCAAAATGGTCAATTTACAATGACTTAATTACCCCCACATCCAAAATGGTCAATTTACAATGACTTAATTACCCCCATCCAAATTGGTCAATTTACTTTGTAATGATTAAAATACCCATAAAACCCCTACATATTCGTGGCACGGGACAACAATAACATTCCATATAACAACTTACCACACAACAAAACAACTTAGTTGACCATAAGAGAACATACGTAGATCATTTGTTTATTGCAACACACATTTACTACAAATAACAAACAATTATCTAATCCAACTCCATGACCGTTGCAAGACTGCTACCTTCACCTCCCACATTTTTTGCAAGCTTCATTTTAATGATTATTTTTGACTTCTTTCGTTTGTTAAACGGTTTAACATGCTTAACTTGATGAACACGAGCATTGACCTTCACCCCTTCCTCCCGTCCATTGACTCCCACCATCTGCTCTTCCTTACCAGTCCTCTCCAAAGCATCACTAGCATCTACCATTACCTAATCATCCCCAACCCCTATGGAAACGTTTACAGACTCCTGCGTAGGTATAGTTTTTCGTTTCTTTGTTCCATTTTGTTTGGATATCCCTACACCTTTACTACAAGTTGCCTTGTTGTGTCCTTTCCCCTTACATATAATACAAGAAACTTTCTTCCCTGCCTTGGAGACAGTGTTTTCCCATCTGTTCAGAAGCATCTCTTCTTCTCTTTATTGTTGGCCTGCCTGACATACGTCTTTTCAATGGAGGCAAAGGGGGTATCAAGTCAATAAAAGGCCACAAATTTTTTCCATTCATACCATGGATTGGCTGTTTGTAATTATTATGGTATAATGCAGCCAAGTACATTGGATCTACATATGGACCATCAGGTGTGATATTTAAGTAAGCTAAGGTGGCAACTGAGTGTACGCAGCCATATCCATTAAGTTGCCATACCCTGCAGCTGCATTCCTTTTTTTTCAACATCAACAGTAAACGCCTCGCCCATTTTCCTTGCCTCAAACTTCATCCCCCACAAGATATGACCTGCCAATGCCTACATATATAGATGAAAACCGCAAATATCATGAGATGTGAAGAGTAAGGTACTAATGTAATTGGATAAATGTACAAACCTTTGCCCAGTCTGGAGCATATTCAACCGTATTCTGATATTTGGACAAACAGAATAACGATTCCATCATTGTCCGGTTAGTTTCATAGTCACCATCCTTTGCATCACATATATACGAATGTCCTCTAACATGCTTATTATTGGTTTCTTCCGGGCATCCAAAATCACACTATTAAAACTCTCTGAAAAACCATTCTCTACTGACTCACAAGAATTATGAACTCTGAAAAAAGCCAAAGACCAAGTCTTTGGATCTCTATCCATAAGATGCACAACTGCTTCCGGATTTAATTTTCCAATCTCTTTCATAACTACATTAAATTGTGCTTCAGTTGTTGCCTAGCTCGCTTTCCAAAACATATTTTCAAACTTGGATCCACTAAATCTCTTTCTAAAATTTGCATAGATATGTCTAGCACACTGCCTATGTTCGGCTGCTGGAAATACTTCCTTTACTGCCTCAATTAAACCCTACACAAGTCACATTAATATTTGAAATTAGAATAGCAATTAGTAATTTTAGAACATGCACTAGTTTTGAACCATACCTTGTGTTGATCCGAAATTAGAACCATACCATGTCCATCATTCCAACATTGCAAATCTTCTGAAAGAGTTTCTATGAACCATTTCCAATTATCTTTGTTTTCCACACTAACAACTGCCCAAGCAATCGAGAATATTCCATTGTTAGCATCTCTACCCACAGCACAAAGCAACTCCCCTTGACAAAAACTTTTCAGAAAACAACCATCCAGGTTAATGATCCTCATACATCCTCCCCTCCATCCCTCTTTTACTGAAGCAAAACATATGTATATTTTGCTGAAATAATTCTTACCATCAGGCATTGAATCAACACAAATTTTAACTGTGGATCCAGGATTTGATCTTCTAATCTCCTCACCATATAACCATATTCTTGCATAATTTTCAGCTATTGTGCCTTCAGCTAGACTCAATGCATAATTCTTGGCTCGCCTACACTGACTCATACACACATTAATCCTAAAAGCGGTTTTTACCTCCTCTCTAAGTAATCGGACGCTTATCTTTTGATTGTTATAAAATTGGTGCTTAAAGTGGGTCCCTATCCATTTGTAAGGCACAATTGATCCGAATTTGAAATTTTTTGCACAATTATGCTCATCGATAAGAGACTTTATCTGGAAAGACTTATCATCACTCATCCAAGAACCCCAAAGCCTAAAAGTACATTTTCCATCACAGCATTTGACAAGTAATCGTCTAGTATCATTCTTAACAAAACATAATTGATAACCATTTGCGACAACATAGTTACAAAGCATGTGTTTCAATTGCTTAGGACTCTCAAACCTCATACCTAAAACAGGTTCCTGCTCCTTCCAATTGAGCTTATCATTGAAAATGTTTGGCAATTCGGGATAAACATCTTCATTCTCACCCATGTCTTCTTCTACTGCCTCACCTACATCTGCTTTCTCACCCATGTCTACCTGAATCTCATTACCCTTTATAAAAAAATGAGGCTTCTGTTGGTCATCCTCACCGTCATCGACATCCTCATCCTCGTCGTCATCATCGCCGTCATTCGCTTCCTCATCGTTTGTGTCACCCACATCCCGATGCCCTGTTGCAACTTCCTTAACCAGTCCTACACCATCAAGTACTTCTTCCTGTACGTTACCAACAAACTCGTCTTTGTGTTCATCCAACCATTCCTGTATATTACTATTCCCAAAATGGTCTACATACATAGGGAGTATAACACCACATTCATATGCAATTGCTATGAAGTCATAATAATCGGGGTCATTGCAAATTAGAGTCAAACCTTTTGGAAAATCAATACCAGGTTGGCAATAATAGAGCTTCTCACACTTTTCCCCAGTGAACCTTTCGATGAACACAACACACTCATCCTTGTCCATTCCTGCGAAATCGATGTCCGAAAACCTTTGAGTAATTCCACTGGTGTAGCGTATGGGGTTTCTGGCGAACATTCCTTGGAAGTGGACATATACTTGTAAGAATACAGGTTCCATGCATGAGGATGCAGAAGCAGCTCACAAAAAAGGGTTTATCGATGAAGTGTTGAACAGTGGAGGTAAAATGGTTCTTTTATAAAGCATATACCGACAGTAAGAAGGAAGCAACTAATTAATGACATGGCATTAGACGAAAGTCACAATCAGCATCCGATGTGGTGTTAGTAGAAGGAGGTGGACTTAAAATGACCGGCTAACCCCTTCACAATTGAAATAAGGACTTAATCGACCCGACAAAGAGTAATTCGTTACCTTATTAAGCCGCAAAATAAGTTAAGTGGCTAAATACGTAAACCCTAAATACATTATAGGGCCTATACATCATTTTCCCTTTTATAAATGTAATTCAATGAATAAATAAGCCGACACACAATGGAAAGTTTAGTAAGACTTTCTTGTTTTGGAAGTGCTTTCTTGAGATACGTATCATATTTTCCGTCGTGTTATCATCATATAATAAATAAGATATTACAATATAAAATAAACATATTCTTGACATGTTACATCAGGGTGAGTAGTGGGGTTCAACATTGGGCTACGCTCTGGACTGAATTCGGCTCTAAACACATTTATGGACCTCTAGTACTAATGGCTATAAATAATGGTGAAGAAGGACGAAAGAAAACCAGTACTGAAAAGTGAAATGGCACCATCCAACTCCACCATAGTGTTTCTTTCATATTGTTTTCTCTTGGTTTTGATAGTTGCAGGAAAACGAAGTGCAATAGAGATAAGCGAAGCCAAAGCAGATGCAGTAGCCCACCACTATCAAACAGTCAAATTAAGCTCTTTCTTATCATCTTCTATTTGTAGCCCATCCACTAAACGTTAGTTTTCATAAACCAAGTTTTTTTGTTCTTTTCCGATTTATCTAAAAGTACGTGTACGTACATACATGAATACATATATACAAACTCATAAGCATATAAATACATACATGCATGATGCGTACATACATATCTGAATTATAATCAATGAATAAGATTTGAATTCATGAATTAGGTGACAAGAAATATGGATCATTGAAAGTGGTTCACAAACATGGACCATGTTCCAAGTTCAGTAAAAACATTGAGAAACCCATAACCATGGAGAAAATATTGACCCATGACCAGTCCAGAGTTGACGCAATCAGATTAAGGTTGACAACCATCACCACCACTGGAAAAAAAGATATCAAAACCTCCATGGCAACCATGCCCGTAACATCCGGCACACTATTCAATTCCGGCAACTACATAGTGACCGTTGGAATGGGCACCCCAAAGAAAGATCTTTCACTCATTATGGACACAGGAAGCGATTTAACATGGACTCAATGCCAACCATGTTCCAGTTCGTGCTACAGCCAACAAGATCCCATGTTTTCACCTTCCTTATCAACTACATATTCCAACATCTCTTGCGCCTCACCAGAGTGCGCATTACTTCCTTTAGCCACTGGAAACATGCCCGGTTGTAGGTCATCAACATGTGTCTACGGCATTGAATATGGAGACGGATCCTACTCAGTTGGACAGTTTGCAAAAGAGAAACTTACATTGAGTAAAAATGAGGAACTTGAGAATTTCATGTTTGGGTGTGGCCAAAGCAATGAAGGAGACTATGGAACAGCTACAGGGTTGCTTGGGCTCGGTAGTGGCAAACTTTCAATTGTGTCACAGACTGCTAAAAAATACGGGAAAGTCTTCTCTTATTGTCTTCCATCAACAGATAGCGATAGTGGTTACTTAACATTTGGAAAAAGTGGAATATCTAGAAACGTCAAGTACACACCGTTGCTAACCTCTCTAAGGAGCAGTACTTTCTTTAATGTTGAGATGGTTTCTATGACCATTGGTAGTACAAGAATAGCAATGAGATCGAGTATGATCATGGACTCAGGAACTGTCATCACAAGGCTCCCTCCTAAGGCCTACTTGGCTCTTAGAAACACATTTCGAGCAGAAATGACGCAATACCCCTTGACTAAACCATTGTCTATACTTGATACATGTTATGATTTAAGTAACCATACGGATGTTAGGATGCCAACGATAAGCATGGGTTTTGGTCAGAATGTAAACGTGGGTATTCAACCTCAAGGGGGTCTTATTGCAACTAGTCGTTATAAAATGTGCTTGGCTTTTGCTGGGAATAACGACGATTCTGAACCTAGTATATATGGGAATGTTCAGCAAATGACAACGCAGATTGTGTATGATTTGGCTGCAGGAAAAGTCGGATTTTCCACTGAAGGATGTGCGTGAACACAAGTCATGAAAACAGTACAAGGATTTATTGTTATTAAGACTTTACATATTATTATATATATTAATATAGTTGGAATAAGGGTGCCTCTCTCAATCTGTAACTTTATGAATGATAAAAGTACACAAGAATTATAAAGTACTAGTTAATCAGTAACACTGAAATTGTTAATTTTCATTATACACAAATTATATATGCCCCTTGATCAATCGGTTTGTTGTCATTTAGATTGCGGATATGAAATATATACCCCTTATCTAAAGAATTGTCTATACATGATAGATGTTATGATTGAAGTATATTAACAAGTGTTCAAATATCTATGATTGGGGTGGGAAACTAAACATGGACATTCCACTCTAGGGAACTTTATTCAAAGGGTACCCATCTTTCCTAAATGATGGAAGTGTATAGTTGGGGTATTATGATTTCCCATAGATGTCGTTGAACACAAACAAGAACAGTGGTTTTCTCATGGGAATTAAATGTTGACTTAATCCAGATATTTTGGTTGTTTTTTTTATCTATTTTAATGCAGAAAGTTTATTTGATTAGAATTGAATAAGTCTTATGGCATGTGGGCTGTAATACCGAGTCTAAAGGGTAGTGTGAGTCAGTTTCCTTGTTTTCTGCATTTCATTTATTTTAAAAGGGCAAAGTGTACGTTGATGGATGTATTCCATTGTGTTTTTCTCTGTGAAAGTGAATAAAGTTGCAACCTTTGCCATATGTGTTCTTCTGTCCCACTTTTACTTTTATAAAGCTTTCTTATATATTTCTTCAAGTGTCC